CGTCCTACGCCCGAAAGAAGTACACGTACCAAGTTTCGTTAAGATATATTAAGTTTTACTCGAGTTATCGTGTGCACAGACAGACGGACAGACGGATGGACGGACGGACAGACAGTCACCGCTTAATCGATTTCTCTTTTCATCCTGATCATTTATGTATACATTTGTCTATATCTATCTCGATTCGTTTTGCCTGTTACAAACAACCGTTATGTGAACAAAGTTATAATACCCTTGTGCACAAGTGCGCTCGGGTATAAAAATCGTCGTTTTGATTAATTAAAACAAGTAAGAAAGTCTAAGTTCGGGCGGAGCCGAACATTAAATACCCGGCGCAAGTATTAAATATATGTTTTCCACCTTTCCGAAAGCTACCGCTACATGATAAGCCGGGGTGTATACATTTTAAGTAAATTAGCGTCCTTAAATTTCGAAATATTGAAATTTCAAGCATATCTGAAATTTACCGTTATATGAAAAGCGGCCTCAATTTTAGTCCGATTTCAACAATTTTCAACGGTTTGCTTTTATGTGGCAAGCACAATAACCATACCGAGCTTGGTACAAATTGCTGGAACGGTTAGCGAGATACATATAGTGATCATAAGTGGGCGGGGCCACGCCCATTTTCCAAAATTTTATCATAAACGTATTTATTGGTAAAGAATTGTTGCAATCATCAATTTTGAATAAATTAGCTTCAATATTTACTGATTTATCGAAGATTTTGTATTTCTCGAAATTACCGTTATATGGGATGTGGGCGTGGTTATTGTCCGATTTAAGAAATTTTCGGCCAGTTGGTATGCTGTACCAGGACCAACAACTGTGCTAAGTTTGGAAGAAATTGGTGTAGCAGTTACCAAGATATACACATGTAACCATAAGTGGGCGTGGCTACGCCCATTTGCCAAAATTTTGTAATATTCTTATTTTTCGTCTAAAACTCATTGCAGATATCAATTTTGAGTGAATTATCTTCAGTAGTTACTAAAATATCGCAGTTTTAGTTTTTCTGAAAATTACCGTTATATGGGAGGTAGGCGTGGTTATTGTCCGATTTGTAAAAGCCATTTAGTATGCTGTACTAAGGCCAACAACTGTGCCAAGTTTGGAAGAAATTGGTGTAGCGGTTACCAAGATATACACATGTAACCATAAGTGGGCGTGGCTACGCCCATTTTCCAAAAATTTATAATATTCATGTTTTCCGTCTGAAACTCATTGTAAGTATCAATTTTGAGTGAATTATCTTCAGTAGTTACTAAAATATCGCAGTTTTCGTATTTCTTAAAATTACCGTTATATGGGAGGTAGGCGTGGTTATTATCCGATTTCGCCCATTTTCAATACCATCCGTCCCACGCCCAAAAGAAGTTCACGTACCAAGTTTCGTTAAGATATCTCGATTTTTACTCGAGTTATCGTGTGCACAGACGGACGGACGGACGGACGGACGGACGGACGGACAGACAGTCACCGCTTAATCGATTTCTCTTTTCATTCTGATCATTTATGTATACATTTGTCTATATCTATCTCGATTCGTTTTGCCTGTTACAAACAACCGTTATGTGAACAAAGTTATAATACCCTTGTGCACAAGTGCGCTCGGGTATAATTAGCGATAGTGTATATTTTAGGCTTATTCTTTATTTAACTGCCGCACCTCAAAAGATTTGCTTATCTTTTCGAAATCTTTATTACATTTTTGAGGAACGTGTTTGACTTTCTGTATCATCAATTTGCAGACTACTTCTGCTTATGTTTATATTTTTAGAGAAAATGTTATTAGGTAGAAAGTGGCTCTTCTTTAATTCATAACTCGTTCAAAGCTCTTTGACATATCGTTAGCATCCCTAGTAATAGAAGGCAAGTTGTTTTAATGGTCTCCGTAGGCACAAATGAAAGCACTTTTTTACGCGTCATTCACTAGACGAAGACGAAAATATTTACTCAGATGTATTTTTAATAGATCTCTATCCCACAACAAATATCTTAGATGCAGATTATGCAGACCGGGAAGTTTGAAGCCTTACCTTCGACACCATGACATCAATGCCTCAGTACCTTGGTTTTCGTATAATTTTCCAGCCTATTCAAAATCCATCCAATTAATTTATTCATATTCATCCAGGTTATACATATGTACATATGTAGTTATTGATAAACTTACTTCTAGAGATGTTATAAAAGTTATAGATTTTGTTATCGTTATCGCAAATAATTTTCGCTTATATATATTATCCCTACCGTTTTCGATCATCATAATCAATATGATTATCATAGTCGATATTTTTATGTTTTTCGACATTATTAAGTTATCGATATTTTTGAAATCAATAATCAATTTTAGCCTATTCCAATCCACTAAATTCATTTAAGCTATATTTATCGATACAAATATTTCTATTGATATTATCGTAAGTTTTCGACTTTGTTATCGCTATCGCTAACAGTTTTCGTTATAGTTATTCCTATCGTTTTCGATATCATAGTCATAACAGATACTTTATCGGTAATTATCGTTATAGACACCGTTAAGTTATCGATGTTTTTAAAATTAATTTTCTTATATTTTATCGTTTCTGTTTTGTATACTAATAATATCAATATTGATTTGCTATCGGTAAATTTATCGTTTTTATTCTGGTGATCACTTATACATATTTATATTTAGCCGAATTCAAAAACAGAGGAGGTTATCAATTCAACGGAATAATATTTTTTTTTTTTTATGTATGTTTTTTTAAAGTACCCATTAATACTAATTTGGTTTAAAATTTTTATATGAGAATTGAAGTCGGTTTTGTTTTGTGCTAAAAAATTATTTGTTTTTTTGGCCATAAAAATAAATTTTTCAAATAAGAGTTCTACAAAATCTATCTTTTTTCATTTCTGTCGAAATTCTTGAATATTTATATTTGGCATGCATAACATGTGACCGTATGTTCATATTTTTGGCACAATCATTCATTTTTTTTATTATTAATTTTTTACTGATAAATATTTGCTCTTTACGCAAAAAAAGCCGTAACTGACTAAACTTTTTTATTGCTCAAAATGATGCGGGGACTTATAATTCGATGAAATGCAATACATATATGTATGTATGTATACCTAGTACATTTAAAAGTTCCTTATCGCTTCCTTTTTAACCGACTTCCAAAAAAAGAGGAGCTAGCTTATCAGTTCGTCGGAATATTTTTATTTTTATTTTTTATATTTTTTTTTTGGTAATTGAATATATTGGAAACTTTGGACCACGTCAACCGATTTCGAGAATTCTTTTTGCATCGGAAAGGTAGGGTCTCAGAGGTGGTCCCATACTAATCTGGTTAAGATCCGATCAGTGGATCATGAGATATATATATATATATATTTTTTTTTTATAAGAGAGTTGAAGTCGGTTTTTTTTGCTAAAAATTACTTGTTTACCTTTGCGCTCAGATATTGCTCGCTTATCGATTTTGACACCTTACCACAAACACGAGCGCAAGTTTGTTCCAAAGTTAAAAAAAAAGTTGTAGATGTACATACATACATATAAAAACAACAATCAAATCAACTAAATGGTGTTGGTTAGCTGGCGGGCCTCCAATTGCATAAGCACTTTTTTATTGTACATATGTTTATATAAATATGTACGTACGTATGTATACCTGCATATACGTTGTGTGTGTATGTATTTGTATATTTAGAGCGCCAACGAAAGCGAGAGGGCGGCGAGCCCTCTCTCTAGCTTTTTTGCAAGTTTTTTTTAGTCATTCTTATTTGTTGATAAGAAAAGAGCGCTTTGGGGGGCCGAGAGCTTACTTATGTACATATATAACAATGTACTCATGATATAGAATTGTATACATATGTATGTACATGTGTATGTATATATGCATCCGTACATGCTTTGTTCTTGCATAAATTAAAAAATTAATAAGAACTTTAAATATTCTTTTTCTATGTACTTGACAAATAGTGGAAAATTACCCAGTGTATTTTTGTGACTTAATTTTTAATAATTTTTTTTTTTTGATAATTGAATATAATGGAAATTTGTATTCTTGAAAGCACATGCTGAACCAGTATTGAACTACAGATAAGCAAGCTGCTGAGATAAGAGTGTATGACCTCAAGGAAATAGCACACTTCTTAAACTAATTGCCAGTTGAGTTTGATGTAAATATGTATACGTTTAATAAATCTAGAAAAAATCATCTGACAACAGCAGCAGAGCACAATCTTATCTACATATGTATTCTTTTAGTGCCTTTGAGTTTAAAACCATCGCGCCGAATAGTTGGTGTTGTAGAAAAATCGTTGCATGTAAAATCAATGCTATCATAGATATCTCTTAAAAGCCCATAGGCTCAGGGTAATTTCTTTAAACTTATCGCCATACTAATGTAGAGTGGTATAGAAAACTTCTTACATTGACCTTTTGGTTTCATCCATTTGCTTGAGTAGTTATGTATATTCCAAGTTGTTCCCTTGGCTCATCTGCCAGTATTAGCCACTACCTGCGAGTTATTGACCTTTTCACTGAAGACTCTTAAATCCAAGCTTGCCTAAAGTACAGTAAAAAGGGTGCCTTTTTCGATTATCTCATCAGCTGAACTCAGAAAAAATATACCATACTGCATTGAATTTCTTCAACGGACGAAAATCTGCCTGTAGCGTTGCAGGCCTCCCCGTTAAAAATGTTTAGCTTACTCCTTAATTAATGTCTATGAAAGTTAATTTGCAAAGTGGCGCTGTTATCTTCCAGCTGCCATTTTTGCGATGAAGCTTGGTTTGCGACAGCATGCTTTTCTGAATAGCTTGCAATTTTATAGCCTTAAAGCGAATATCTAACTTGATGGATGAAACTGTCAAGTTGACTTATCGCAACATAATTTGCGCACTTGACTTTGACTTTTGCCATTTACCATTTGCAATTTAATTCTAAATTTAATTACTTGCAACTTGTTTACTTACTTTTCTTTTATTCTTCTTCTTCTCCACAGGATCAAGAAAACCTACTCGGCAGCAGCATGGTTCACGGTACGAGTGAGAGCAACTCAAAGACCCTACCACAATATGTGGCGGCTTTGTCAGCTGCTGGTGGCGCATTTGCCGCTGGTACACTGCTCGGTTGGACATCACCCGCCGAAGTAAAGATCAATAACGGCGCTTATGATTTTGAAGTGTCGAAAAGCGAATTCTCATGGGTTGGCTCAGCCATGACATTGGGTGCGGCGTTCGTTTGCATACCAACTGGTATACTCATCAATTTGGTGGGACGTAAGCTGGCAATGTTGTTGCTGGTGCTGCCCTTCACTCTAGGTTGGGGTTTGCTAATTTGGGCGCAAAATGTGCCCATGATGTTTGTCGCTCGTTTCCTGCTGGGTATTGCTGGTGGTGCATTCTGTGTAGCCGCACCTATGTATACGGGTGAGATAGC